AGCAGGTTTTTCACAAGGATCAAATGCGTTATGAGGATAGGTAATATATGATATGACATCAGGATTTGATTCTTCCGAAATATTCTCATGAAATTCATTAGAACTGTCATTGCAGAGCTTAGGATCGTTAGAAAAATCAGCATCTATCCAAACCACATCAGGTTTCCGATTATGAATAGGTTCATTTAACATATTTTCCTCCGAATTGCAAGTAATTTTATTAGAAATATGTGAATCATTGGGAAAAGTCATACCTGGTACAATAGCATGAGAATTCTGATAAGTCGGTTGATTAGGAACTGTTGTCTCACAAGAATTCTGGATTTCATTTAACTCTGAACTGCCATATGACTCTGCACTGTCATTTGAAATCGTTGATAAAGATAAATGATCATCATGAATACTCGACTCAGTAGAATCAGAATTAAAGACTTAATATTAGTTGCAGTAAGATGAACAGTAATATTACAAACTGACTGAATATGTCCAATATCACCACATTTAAAGCACTTAGAATTACAAAATTTACATGAATCAAAAGAGTGGAACTTGCCACAGGACAAACATTGACCAAACTTGTGCCCATCTTCGTGAACTGCATCCAAACTCCTCAATGAATTATATGCACAACCTTGAGTATGCACTGGGTTGGGATGACATAATGTACTGGAATTTTTTATATCCTCATGAATTATTTTACGAGATCTTCCTACTTTACCGCATTCGAAATTTGTATAATTAACATAGTCTAGCACCAGCTCCTTGAGAGTTGTATAAGGAAGCGAGATAGGCTCTTCTGGCATAGTCAGAATTCCTAATAAGCTGTATGCTTCTTTTCCAATGAATGTGAGGAAGTGTGCCACAATATTAACATCCTCATCATCTTCCTTGGTCATAGCCCAGATTTCGAACCTGTCAAAGTAATCTTCAAAAGCTTCCGAAGTTGAATGAATAACTAACTGTTTGATTGCAAGTTCCATCGCGACGTCAATATAATGTTTTGAATTATTTGAATTGTATTATGAACTAGGAATCTCAGAATTAACGCAATTGAATTAAGAAGTAAGACACAAGCACAAACGAATGTATTGTATTTAGAATTCGAAATCGAGCATTCAACAAGTACAAAGGTATCATTAGTTCATTCAAACACCACAACTACCCAGTGCATGCTACCGGAAACCCAATGTGATTGGGGACAATGAATTCTATTATGCTGTCTTACAACTCCCGATGCTCGCCTCAACCATGTTCATCTTGGTTTGATGGATAATTACCAGATCCAAATGGATAATGTGTTGGCCGTTTCACTTGATGGCCAGAAGAAGCACCCAACATGGACATTACTGCTGAAACAATGGCCACACCCTCGTGGAACGATTTGTCTCAAATCACGGCCCTCATTCAACTAAAACCGTGGATATCAGTTTGAATTTGGATTTTCCATTGCTGCCCTACACTCCAATCACCAAGGATCATAACGAGATTTCGTTGGTGTCCGATAACTGGCCTAAATTGACGCGCTCTAGAAGAACCTCTGGGTTCATAGAGCATCTAAACGACTATTATGCGTAAAACATTCCATAATCTCGTCCATTTTTTCTCGTTTCCTATTTTCTATGGTTACTTGTTTCCTTTTCAATTCTTTTTATGTTGAAGGTAACAAAAAGCCAAAGCTTCTAAAATACCTGACAAACATTTTGCTATGCTTATGCATGTGAAAATACTTATAATAAACCCTGTGAAAACCTCTCTGTATGTAATTTTTCGGCTGTTACAAAATAAACATATAAATATATACCGGTCTTCTTCCTTGACAAACTTTGCTTGCCTACCTTAGCACGAGCATATTTCGACACGCATGGACTTTTCTATTATTTTCTATTGTATCAGAACAACAGTTTGTGATCAGTAACGAAGTCAGTTCGTCAAAAAGTGATTTAAACGTATGAAGTATTGAATTGTATTATGTAATCGCGACAGATTGGAAGGAAAAATGAACAACAGTGGAGACGATTATTCACATAAATGATCCATTTAACAACGATATGAGTGCGTGAATGCACAAGATTCAAAGGATACGGTAAACACTCAACTATTCGTAAAAATGTTCAATCAAAGTGGCTCAATTTTTAACTGGCGATTATACGTTAACTTTTTAAACTGTTTGCTTACAGTGTCGATTCCCAGTCTGGTTTGTTCCAAGTTTTGTGTTTTTGTTAACTATCGCATATCACTTTCCATATTTTATGTAAGTGCGTTGTGTGCACTTGGTAGGCCGTTGGTTTTCCTTCCATCATTTTCCATCCTGTAATCACGTCACTTCATGCTCCCATTAGTACACAAAACACCTTTTGGCTAGACGTGAACCGCTACAACAGCCCAATACATAATGCGATACAGGTGCACTCTAATCATTTCGTTTTCAAGCTAATGGAGTAATATATATGATATCGATGTCTGAACTACGATGGTAGTTCATATAAATGTGAAAATCCGACCTACCTGAATTATGACTGTATATTCTTGCGAACAATTTGAAAATACTAATGCTCAATAACTAATGGTACAATCACCTATCAACCTTAATGGTCCACTGACGCTCTGGAACTTGGGTAAATCGCAAGGTACGTTCGCAAGTTTTGTAGTCGTAATCCAGATAGATCGTTTGTCTACATTCACTTTTTCAGCTACCTGATATTTTATAGTATCAGCTATCCTTTCAAACAAGTGGATTACTAGGACACCAAAAGAGTACTATGTGAATAGCTACCGGACATACAAGCTCGAATGTGGACGTTTTTAATTCTTCAACTGTCATAAAACCAGCAGTCGGTCTCACAGAATACATTTAGTGACCGTAATTCATAGTCCATTAGATACTGGACAAGGTATAAGGGTAAGCCGAGAGTCATTTCAATACTGTGTACCTTCTGACCAGTCAATGGATCCCCAACTTTCGTTGATAAATGAAGGCTCTTGATCTGTTCTGGGAGATACAACTGTGTTCAACTTGATTCTTCGTGCACCAGGCACTACTGTTTCTTACGTAAGTAAGGCGAATAATGCGTTGAGGTTTTTTCACTTGGGATCACTTCTGTTAAGATTACATGTAATTTTCTATAAAACTTGAAAATACAGTAATACCAGTCTCCATTACGTCACATGTAGATGTCTTGTAGACTACATTTGTACTTCCTGACCATAAGCAATGTTTCATTTTGTTTTCCGTCTCTGTTGCATACTTATTCAACGGAATCAACCTCAGCATAGAATAAGGACATTAAGCGTGTGAGGCCGCAAAAAATGTTCTCGAAAACCCTGCAATTTCATTTGATAAGACTGGGCTTAGATGTGTAACAGTGACAAGGCTAGAACTTCATATTCAAATAAGTGGCAATCACATAAGCTTTTGATCATCATTCTGTTCGTAATTAATTGACAAGTATTCTAGAGATTCAACCGCTTTGTATATGCTTCATTTGAACTTGTTCAGTATTCTCTGTTTGACAACATAGAGTCAAATCTGGTCTATTGTTGTGTTGGCAGTCTACGTGAGACTGTTATATACTAGAATTGTTTCTATTACATGTGAATCAAGTTCACATTGTTTAAATATCAGTGGGTATCTTTGATATAAACGTCAAATGAGTATACAAGAACCGTCCTAAACTTTTATATATCGTTTTTGTTGGAAGTAACAACTTGTAGCTGACTGACTGACTGATATTGTTTTTGTTAGATCGGTTATTTGGATGTTTAAACATGTCCAGTAATACCAACTTATCACTATATGGCTGTTTACTATACCTTCACTATTCCAGCGATATATATATATATATATATATATATATATAATGGTTTTCCCTTCTAGATAATCCGCTTGAATGACTACTCAATGACATCATTTGCCGTCACTTGGTTTATAACTACATGCATATCTTCAAAAAGAAGGGATCATAGACTCTAGAACGAGTCGACCGACAGCGTCATAGCGACAGCGTCAATTCAAACCGTTATTTAATTATCTTAAAAACATCCTTTTCATTCCGTAAATTTATGTTCTTTTCTCAAATTACATATTTACTTAATCCTTTGTATTGCCACTAATGCTTTTACTACACACGCAATTAATGAACTGAAATTGTGTGGCGCATATATATTTGGCGCACTCCTGTACCAATATATATGTGTTCAAATAAAAAATAAAATAAACATACCACTCTAGCATCTTACTGTCCTAATAGAGCGTGGCAGCTTTAACCCACATAAGTTCCAAATTCTACACTATATAACTGACTGGGATTTGAACCTATTCTAAACAGAACAGGTCAATTAAGTCTTCATGTTCGTAATAGAAATAAATATACTATCTCTGCTTAGAAGTCTTTAAACTAAATGCGAAAATCCCACTCGATGTTTCTACTAAACAAAAGCTATGGTTGAAAGGCTTCTATGTTCAAATACCTACTTCGCACGTATCTTTCCCTCGCTAAAACCCGTCTAACATCCGTCAATTAGTACAGTGGATTCACTGTCACCAAGCATCTTATTAGTGACAAGTTTGCAAGTGCAAAACGAGTTCTATCTGTTTTAAGAATTCTGCATCATAAAGCTAGGTTTAGTTTGAGATAACTTCCGACTCAACTTTTCGGGGTTTGAATAAGTGTCTAACCATTTACTATACATTAACGAGCTCTTGATACTTGAAGCATGTTTGGCGTTCAGATTTTAACTCATCACCTGTCTGGAACCTCGTTATACAGCTCATAAAAAATTTCTGTCAACTGGTTTATTTCATAAGGTTTATTATCATCATGATTATTTATTATTCCTTCGATTCCGTATTTGCACCCCGAAAATTCTTCTAAGTTTTATAGGGCAAGGTCATGCTTTTTTTAATGAATTTATTGTCTATCAACTCATAAAACTTATTTTCCCTCCTAGATTTTTTATCTGAGGAAAAATTCGTACAAATTTGTGGGTGATATTAGATGTATCATTAACTGAAGTTGACTTTTCAATTTGTTCCAATGCCTACCTTATCTCAATAGTTAACTTACATTGTTATCTGTTGTAATTATAACATAATACAATAAAGTGAATAGTGACAGTGCTACCTTGTCGATAATGGATACATTATTCATTAGTTCAACATTTGATTCATTTGATGTTCTGTATACGTTACTATTTGGACTTCTTGTATTTTGCATTATGGCACCGACTACAGAGTTTATTTCTGCTGGTGTAACATTAGAAAATTTGTTTAATCGATTTCTTGGTAATGAAAGTTTATACTTTGTACAGTATCATTTAAAAAGAACTGTAATGATACGATTATTTTCATCGTCTTTGGTCTTTCGTAAGTTTAATTATCTTCGTTTTCACTTACATTAATGTAGTAGGTATTTGGTTTTATATGGTAACTTTTAAGATGTATTTTATTTGGTGAAAAGGATGTTAGATGGTAATTTAGCTTCGTGGACTAAAATACTTTTGAATTTAATTCACTACATTTATTTTCAAGGATGGCTTCTCAACTAAGATAGAATGAGCAGTCTGGATGTACGACTAACTCTCATGCAATAAATTATAGGTTGGTATGCAATAAGTTTAAACATCTAAGTCGAGTTATCAATTATCTCTGTCAAGGTTGTGTTGTTTCCCTCTGTATAATAGTCAGCACAAACTAGAGATACTCACCGGACGTCATTTACTCAATGGAAACTTGTTTATGCATTAGTTACTCACTATTTCTATATGGAACAAGTCTGTATGTTATTTTTCAGTTGTTTTGAGTTCTATATGTTCTTCAACTATAGGAATACTGCCGTTGCTTTCCCAATCCTTGCCTTTGCGTCTGCGTTGGATCCTCTTTGTTCATCGATGGTGCTGCCCAGGTACGTGAAAGTTTCCACATCTTCCAGACTTTCTCCATCAAGTGTGACTAGGTTGGTGTCCTTCATATTGTATTTGAGGATCTTGCTTTTTCCGTTGTGCATGTTGAGGCCTACTGATGTAGAGGTTTCTGCTACACACGTTTTCATCTGTATCTGTTTGTGTTTATGGGATGGAAGAGCTAGGTTATCTGAGAAGCCCGAATCGTCTGTTGCATCCAAGATCTTCATTGTATTCCATGTTTCTCAGATGTGGAGGTTTTCATAATCCAGTCAGCCAACAGAAGAAAAAGAAGGGACGTGAGTAAACAGCCTTCTCTGACAGCGGTCTTCGCTTGGAATGCGTCTGTCAACAGTCCTTCATGGACGACTTTGCACTGTTGTCCGTATACGAATTCTGCATGATGTTGACGATTTTCTCAGGTACACCATAGTATCGAAGATGGTTCCATAAGGTTCTCGTATCTACACCGTCAAATGCTTTCTCTTAATCAAGGAAGCTGATGTATAGTGACGAGTTCCATTCAATTGATTGTTGAACAATGATCCATAGTGTCTCTAATCAGTCTGTGTACGGCCGATCCTTATGGAATCCAGCTTGTTGATCTTGAAGGTGGGTATCTACTGATTTTTTTCATCTGGTTCAACAACACTCAGTTGAAAACCCTTACTGGTACTGACTGTAGTGTGATGCCTCTATAGTTCTCTCACTTACTCAGATCTCCTTTCTTTGGTATCTTGATAAGGTATCATTCTTTCCATTCTGTTGGCACCTGTTCCTCCTCCCAAATCTTCCTGAATTAAACATAGAATATCTTTGCAGTTACTTCTACATCTGACTTTAGTGCTTCGGCTGGTATATTTTCAGGCCCTGCTTCTTTGCCAAACTTGGTTTGTCTGATGCACTCCCTGATTACTTCATGTTGGTAGAGTGACATCTGTAAGTGGTGCTTCGATGGGCGGTGGGTTCAATGGAGCTGATCTATTCAAGAGTTCTTCAATGTATTCTACACATCTGTTCCTCTGTTCTTAAGTCTCAGTGATTGGCTTGCCTCCTTTGTCCTTGACTGGTTTACAATTTTTACCTACTAGTTCCTTCGTTGTTTCGTACAGTAATCTTATATTTCCTTTTCTTGTAGCTTTTCCACTGTCATTGCTAGTTCTTCCACGTACTTCTGCTTGTCAGTTCTAATGCTCTTCTTCACTTGCTTGTTTACTTCTGTGTATTCAGCTTGTGCCTTAACTCTCTCTGTTCTTGTTCGGCTGTTGTTGATTGCTGTCTCCTTGTTCTTCCGTTCTTGAATCATGTCTAGGGTTCCGATGGAGATTCTTTCCTTATGATGATGCTTCTTGCGACTCAGAACCTCCTGACACGTTAAAGTTAATGCTTCTTTGATCCCTTTCCAATTGTCCTCCATAGTAGTTTCTTTCAATAGATTCTTCAAAAACATGACATGTGAAAGAAAATGTGACTAGATATCTGTAAAATTTTTACCAATGGTCATTAGAAAACCCATGTCTACTTATACTTAAATCCCAAAAGGTCATAAATATATTACTCGGTACACTAATGGTTAATACATATGGCTTCAAGCAGAGAAATGGGTCGCAACTCGTCTTCAGTTTATTCTGTTTAAATGGCTGGGCACCCTTACTAGCTTTTACGTAATTCAAGCACAATTTGGAGCCGAGTGCACAGATATGTATTTGACAAATAATTTACTTCGTATATTACATTTAATTACATGAAGGTAAAAATAAAACATTTTTATTGTTATTTATTTTTGGGGCCTGTGCGATCAAACCGTAAAATAAGAGCAGTCGTATTGATCTATTCTGATATTTCGATTATTTTGCCAAAACTGTCCATCTAGTACTAATGACAATGATAGTGAAATAACAACTGCGAATAACACAATGACTATCGGTTCAGAACTTAGTTTTTCATACTCGACCGCTCAATATCCAGGATAGAACAGGACTTCAGACAGATAACTTCTAATTATACAATTCAAATTTATAAGGTACTCATACATTGATATAGAGTCAAATCCCGATCACACCATAAGTCTATATAGGACTGATTAATAACTTAATAAAGATACAATACATAATAACAGTTAACGCATCACGAAAAAGTTTACAAGTAGGCGAATATAAAATTCCATAGTTTACATATGTAATAGTCATACAACAAAGGTACAAACATTAACTTTATATAGGGCATTCTGAAAGCTCAACTACGCATAGTATTTATCCCATCATAGCATTTATTTAGCTTTAATAATCTATGTTAATACTTAATATTTCTAAGATTTTTGTGCAGGACTATAATTTATGGACGAACCAATCGGGTATAAGATAACAGATCTTGGATTTTGGCGCGAAATTCATTCATCCGTTTGGCTAACTAGCGTTTTGGCATTATAGTTGATGTCAGTTCGTGATAAAAACCCTAAATCTAGTTCTTAATCCTAACCACCAACTGTAAATCATAAATCTAATTCTTCACACTGGTTTATAACCCTCATTTAGTCCTGTTTAGTAGGTGAACATTCTCAAGGTCACTTTAGCATTGCTCAAACGTCCTTCATTAATTATGGTTTCACCAATTTTTATTACGCTTCTTGTTTATATTTATTATTTTTTCTAAATTGTAGTGTATTTTGTGTTCATGCAGTGTTTGTCCAAAAATGTAGCGATTTCTGCTCCAAATATTTCATTTCCATTTACAATTTGGGATGTAATTTTATGGATTGGCATAGGCAGTCTATCTGTCATTGGGTCACATACTTATCTGGTTTGGTATGGATCTGGTACATGGTATGGCCACCCAACAATTTTATCATTGAAACGGATTATTATGGAATCACTACCTGATTCACAATTGTCATCTTCAGCCACAGCATCATCATCCTTGTCAAATGGCGCATTTAGTGTCGCGTAAGTATATTTTACAACAGATATTTTTCTGTATACCTAGTGAATTAAGGATAATTGTTATGCTATTCAAAACCTTATGTACTGTCCATATTTTGGCCTTTAAAATAGTGATTCAGCTGTGCAGAATGGTACAATGCAGCGAACTTATAGTGGTTTTTTCATAAAACAGCGTCTACTGACTTGAAAGCCCCTGATTAGATTGTGTAGTTTTGTGACGTAAAGTATCTTCAAGCAAAAGTTATCGCTAAAAGATACCCAAATAAATTAAGATTTGTAATCAAATTACCTTAGCATGATGAATCAAGATTTTCACTGAGTTCTTTGTGTATTGACGCAGTACAGAGCTGTAGAAATGAGTGTATTGTCCATTTGACTATTCTTTTATATACCATCTAACTTTATTATTAATCCGACTTCTAAAAACAAACCACTATTGTCTTGTTCTTTATTCTAAAAGGAATGTAAAATATAGGTAAATGTTCGTAAATATATCTCATAATATCAATATTTTCCAATCTAAAAGTACTGGAAAATCGTATTATTATGAAATCAGAGATACTTCAAGCTTTTTTTTATCTATTAAATACTTAAAACAATGTGTTTAATCATTCACATTAATAAGTCTATTCTTATTTGTGACAGTCACTCCTTAACTTGTTCTGAATCACACTATTCTCACTAGTTTATTATTTTGTCTTATACTTACTTATACTTAAGTTTTCTTCGGTATATGAGCCCAGTTTAACTCTAAAATTTAATGACTGTAGAGACCACTGATCTTTATTTCATCAGATAACTTTGAATAAAGGGATAAATGATCAAAAATAGTATGAAATAGAGTTAGATTATGCTTTATACTGGGTACCCACAAATAAATTTTCAAAGAAACCAATCTCATTCAGAGAAATAATTATGTCTCGTACCTAACACTAACTCAGAACTATTTTACTAATCAAATACTTTAAAAATCAAAACTATCACCTCCTCTTTTCGTTGTATGAACGTGATTCGACATTGTTGTTTAGCATATTGTGTAGAAAATTCTAAGAAACTCATTAATAAACAATAAATCAAATCTTAAAGGTAAAACTGATCATCACTAACCTGCTATGCAGCTGATATACCGTGATCTAATTTTCAAATGATTGTTGTCTTATGACTTAACACTTATAATTGTGCTAAACAAATAATATCACATTTATTAACTACAAAAAAGCTTTCTTTCTATATTCCCATCAAAATATCACTTACCATACGAATGAAGCTGGTTCAATCTGATTGAAATACAAAAAATCTTCTTTACAATTGTTATTGGTATTTTCCAAACTCCTAACCTTTTTTTTTTATCTCGAATTAGACCAATAATTAGTGACTTCATGTATTGATGTCATTTTCCTAACTGACTACTCATCAATTTTTTGTCAACAAAGTAACAAATCAAAGTGGATGATAAAATTTAAAGTTTGCCTAGCTGACTTGAGAACCTTGTTCCAATGTTATAAATGATCACCCACATATTATATATATATATATATATATATATATATATATATATATATATCAGTCCAGTTGAAGTCCAGTATAAATCCAGTCTTTTAGGTTAAAATAGATTGTAAATAATGATTAATTTGTAATGTTTATCGCACTTTGGTGCGAAGTCTTAATTTCCTAAGTTAGTTTATTATTCCTATGTTGATGACAGCATTTTTTCACTTTGGAAATAGATTGTTTTATTTCGTGATCTCAATGAAATTCTCCATTCCGATGATCCGCCAAAAGTTGTATTTAAAAGTTAACGTAACACAAACCTGCCTATCTAGTTAGATCCGTATTGTATTCGTGGACAGTTGGAGCTGTGGCTTAGTGGTTAAGATGCTCAATTTTCAGCTGACAAGTCCTAGCCTCGAGTCTCGTTCCACCTACTTCGGTTCGGATAACCTAGTAGTATCATTAGCCTACCCACTTGAAGTGTGTTTCATCCCCTAAAGTACATGGAGAATAAGTTAAATTATTTAGATAGCAGATAAATTCTTGACTCGCTCAGTTTTTCGAGTTTTTACATCACTTATAAAATGATGATCAATTTTTGAAGTGCTTTATAGAATATTTCATATTTTAACCTCAATTTTGTTTTAGTATAAAAGCTTTGATATCTTCAATAAATTCTGAATATCAACGTTCTGATAAATTCGTAGCAGGTCAAGGAAGTTTATCAACTAATTGGTCAGGTCGACGATTTGTTATCACAGATTCATGGATTTTAACTTCACGTTTTACTGAATTCAAAATACTTAAACAATCTTCGGAAAATATGTTAGCTGTTGTTGTTTCAGCATTTTCAGTGCTGGACCCAAGCTCTCTAACTCAAGGTGGTCAACCTGACGGAGAAAGTCTCGGTGTGCAAACAATTGTTACAGTGAGATTTATACGTACAGATACAGGAGTGTGTTTGCTTAGTTTTGGGTAAGTAGTAATAAGTGTACATTGTAAGTAAGCTGTCACTGCATTTATTTTGATTGGTAGTTTTCTAGTCACAAGGTTAATGGATTGATTGAATCTAGTATCAGCATTGATTCAATCAACCTGAAGTGATTCATCTTGATACTTTCAATGTTATCCTCAGAAAGTTGTTAACCCATGGGTTTAAATTTATTCTAGTCTCCCATTGGCGAATAAAAGTCAAAGTCACTTCCTTTCAGATGTATAGTGTTGAATTATTTCCAGACCATAGCTGCTTCTTTGATGTGGTTGTCTGACTTGTTCATCGTAATGACCCAGTTGAGGTAATTGGCTAAAACAAAATCATTTACATCTTGTATTTACCAGACCAGTTGGAGGAAGTTAGTAAGAGTAAAAGCACCAAACTGAAATTTCTAGGGCAAGGCTATACCGGTAACTGCACAGAGGTGAAATGGCAGTAAGAAGTTTCCTTTTGACAACCGTCATCTCCAACGATGGTGTTTTCTGACAGCAGATAGAGTAAGTTTATGTAAATAGATCATTCACCAGGCACTTTTAGATATGAGCCACACTTAGCCTAAAGTCTAATGATACTACCAGGTTGCTCTAGACGAATTAGGTAAGTCGGGGTTCGAATTTGGGACTTTGTGGCTGAAAGTTAAACGCCGTAACCCTACTAAGCCAATATCTTGCTGGAGTATTTTTCTATCATGTGGGCAACCGATCAATAATAACCACCCTGACACTTTTTACAGTACTCAAGATCACCTTGTTCATAATCGAGTTTCTTCTTCAATTCTTTATATTCCTCGATTCTCACTCTCAAGTTAATCAACATAATGTTTTTTCCTGAGTGGCATTCAAATTCACGCTGTTTTGAATATTTGACTCGAAACAGAATCAAACCATAATTTTTATATCTCTTGTTTAATCAATTCGCCTCAATATGTTCATTTCTGATCATTTCCACCGTTATACATCATTGAGTTTCGTGTGATTTATAACGTTTGAACACTTGGTTTCTATGTTTGGTGACTGATTAGTGTTTTAATAATCCTAAGCGTCATAAATTTCGTGAGCTACAAACTTTTAACACCAACAATAAAAATGTCGCTTTGTATTTTCAGTAGACTTTATACTGATGATATCAATCGTAATTCTTCTAATATTATTTCCAATTTATTATTTCAAGATTGCCAGCATCAAATTTAGATGAGTTACGCAGTAAACTACGTTTCCCTTTAATACAAGCACAAGGTGTACAATTAGAGCCAACAATTATTCAAAGATTTATTGATGCATTTACACAAGTAGTTGATGAAAATCAACCGGTAAACCTACCAGCTGGCTATGTGAGTTGTTTGTATTTCATGTTTATTATTTTAACACATAGATATTATTACAAGGAAGCATCAAATACATATGCGCCACGCAAATCTCATTCGATATGTGTGAGGGCTGTGATACTGCTCGGGTGCCCAAACCGAAGCAGGTGGTTTTCCTAGGGTCACTGCCCGAGCCTTCGACCTGAAGGTCTGATCCACAAGGCAGTGGAGCATCGTAAGAAGATGCAGTCCCATGGAAGCCGGTGACCAACGATTGGTTCATACGCCATTTGTTCCCGCAGGATACTGGAGAACATGTGCACCATTGATTTGGAATCCGGTTAAAGCGCCGGACATTCGCTTTTCATCCTCTCATTTTCGTAAACAACAACTATGAACAAAATACTTCTTAATTATTAACGCTCAATCAAATTTAAACATTAATTTTATGCTGAATCTTGTCATACCTCTATTCCCCCCCAATATCCAGTCAATTGTATTAATTCTGCTAACATCTTACCTGCCTTAGCAAAAGAAGTTTATATATTGATTTACTCTTTACACAATCAAAAGACTATTTTAGCTTCTCAGTGTACTTACTTAGATAGTTGTACAATTCTTCATTCATTAAGGATCAACAGTATTTGTAGTTCAGGCTAAGCATTTTGGAGGCACTGTGTTTTCTGAGCTAAATAGTTCCATTGTGAAGTTTTCATTGTCTTTCCAGACAACATCATGATTTACTTTTTGAAGGCTTCACAATTAAACGACCTAGCTCAGAAAACAGGACATCTAGAAAAGAATAGCTTAGGTTTTAATCTTCATTTTTAGTTGATAAAACCAGCAACAGTAAGTCGATATCTGACATGAATAACGCAATGAAAATGACCAGTTCAGTATGATCGAAGATTAACAAATAAAAACTGTTCTAGTTTTTAACTAACCAGTAAAATGCGGACAACACAATTGTGAAATAAAATAAGTTACTTATAAGTAATGTAACTAGATTATGCAATATAAATGCGACACAATAGTTCAGCAGTTGGATATCAAATTACTTGATTGTTGAATTTTCTTTTTGTATCAATTGATTCAGTTAAAGGTATGCTCAGAAAGAAATCAATTGTACGTAACTAATGTATGTATTGCATAATCCTATGTCTTGAATAAAACATATATTGATATTAGATGATTAGAGACTGTCGACAAGAAATCTTAGACCTAAGTCACGTGCTGGTTGACACTCATCAGCAGGACATATCTACATCATTTGGATAATTGGTATTCCCTAGTGGATTTGAATATGAATCACCTAGTTTCACCATTCTGAGACGTTACCACTGTGTTCTATCCAGATAGTGATGAACATTGTGTCAGACTGAGATATTTACAATTGACCAATCATTAAGCAGTGATCAATGTCATATTTGTTTAGCCCTACTTCAATGTTAATTTTACTGAAATAAAAAATGTCAGTGAAGTAGAAGGAATTTTAACTTGGTGTTATGATGTAATATGGTGAATAAAATGTTAACATTCTTGGTTTTTTTGTTACTTTCATTTTGACCGTTGGTTAAACATTTCCATTATATAAAATCATACTAACCTAATTGAATACTTTGTTCATAATTGATAGTTTCAATTTCCTAATAATACCGTTCAGTCATCTAGCTAGTAGCTCTCTCTCCTATACAATGGGGTCAATCAGAAATCGTACGAATAATGTGTGCACGATTGGTCAAGCAATGCCTTACATTGCCTAGGAATGAGACATACACCATTGATGGCTTAATTTTGTAGGGGATATATATATACGAGTATGGGAACAAAAGTTTCTTTCTGCATCGAGTACGGGGAACGTGAGTACCAGTACGAATTCTCGTACACTAAATATCACAACAGTGTCTTATGCGGATGAGGTTTAAAGCTCAGTTGCACGAGTGAAATACACTTGCGGTCACTCACTCACTCACCACAGTAGTTCCGTCAGCCAAGTATTCTCTCAAAGCACTTTTGACAGTCGGTTATGTTACTTTACTGTTAAGCAGTAAGGAATGAATTTAAATCATGTCCTACGTTTGCCGAAGTTTATGAAGCCTAATGATGGGAATAACCTTCACACAATAGGGCTAGTTTATTGTTTGGCTCAGAAACTTGTATATCATTCCTCATGTACACTATTTTACGGTATGATCTAAATGTAATGTGTATATTTCGATTATTAAGATGCTGTATGCAGATTTCTCTATTTGAAGTTACTTTTCGTTACAAAGTGACTGAAATCAGGGACTACTGAATAGCTCTCGGGTTTCAACTTAAAACTATTCAAGAGTCCTCACCTCATCCAGTATTAAAAAGGCATCCTCATTGTCGCAAGACCTCAAGTTCGTAGAGGCAGTCATAAGTACGGTTGCGAGTGCACACGACTAAGGAGTCTAAAAATGTAACAAAACTGCTGTTTATCGCTTCGTATTCATCGATGGCTCTTCAGTTGATGTAAGTCTCTTATAGAATGACTAAATTCATGTCTGTAAACAATTTTTATTCCAAAAGTTTTATCAGTATTTAATAGATTGAATATATCAATCAGAATTCATATGCTACCTTTGGTTGTGTTTTGATATCAAGTCTTCTTTTCTTTACATAATTTCTGCTGTTTTAATCTAGAAAACGTTTGAATGAACATATTTCAGCAGCAAAACGTAAACTGTTAGAATTACCGGTGTTTTGAAAATAGCTTCGTTCTTAATTTTTTTTGGCATTTTCTAATCCTTAAACATTTTATTCCCAAAAATATCGTATGCCCTGTCATTCTTCATCTTGTCTGATTATTTTTATAAACTCACTTTAACAGAAATATTCAATATTTTCGAGAGTATATATATATCTTCATAATATTTTCCTGTCATATGTGGTTCGAATTTCAACTCGTCCAAATCAAAACATAATATCAGTTTGTGAGACCATTGGCTATTGAACTAAGCCGCATTAGTCAGTGCATACTACTACCACTCAATTAAGGTAACTAATACTCGGAGATATCGAATGACATGGCTTACAATCGGTTGAAATGGCGCCGATCAACTTACTGTTTTTCTCCCTTTAGATCTTGGATTTTAACATAACCTCATACTGTTTATCAAGCAAATTCATTCTTTCTTCTCGAAACAGATTTCCTTTTCCTAATGTTTCCCACTACCACTGATATTTTCACTATTTTAACTGGCTGTAAATGTTACTGTTACAATTCATCTCTCCATTCTGATCATGATGTGGCAACTTGAACGGATACACATATGGGCAAAGTTCTACGTTGCATAATATTGACTGAGTGACTGATTCAAGTATCAACTAACCAAATATTAGATTTCAACCATACTGCATGTATTCGGATTCGAAAAGTCAAATCCTGTCTATCTTCACATAATAAGTATAGTACAAATTCTAGTACATAGACAATTTATATCTGCTCACTAGGTTATTAATTTGTCGCTTTATATTTTTGATAGTGTTTCACTCATTTTTATTCTTTCGGTTTTTATTAATTATCTTATTGCACACTTTATTGTTATATTTTTTATACCTTTAAAGGAGTTGGAACAGTGCATTGGATGTATGGTACAACAAGTTAATGTCACTTTAAATCGTCAATGCGAAAGTTCACTCACCCCTTCTTCATCATCAGCAGCAATTAATAGTAACCAATCATTAGATAGTAATCAATGCGGTATATGTTATTGTAGACCATTATGGTGTTTAGAATGTTTAGCACGTTGGTTTGCTTCAAGACAAACAAATATGCGGTGTCCACCAACTCAATGGCTTTCTGGACGTGTACCTTGTCCAACATGTCGTACATATTTTTGTGCTCGTGATGTATCACGACTTATTATTTCTCATCGACAATTGGACTGAGATCTGTTGTATTTAACAGGTAACATCAGAAAATGTGATTCATTTGTGATACCAATCGGTTTTTCCCTTTTCCTACACTTGAACAATTCAAACATATATATATATATATATATATATATATATATATACATATATATATATATATATATATATATATATATATGTATATATGCTCTGTCCTACCGTCTTTCTACCTGTCCTTCAAACGACTTGCTCTTGATTATTTTGTTACCTCAGTAACTATTGAGTAAAAACTGGTTTCTTTATCGTCTCCCATCCTATTATTGGGGCGTTCTTTCCTTCATTCTCGTTTTTGGTCTCTTATTTTGTTCCTAATTTTTTATAATTCCTAACATGTTTGTAGTGTATAGTGGGTTAAACAAGTTGTGTATAATAAATTGATTACAAAAGCACTTCAAGTTTTTTCCGTCAAGTAAAATGAGCAATTTTTGTTTGTCTGTATTGATTAGTTATTTTTTATCATTGGAGGGATTTTGTGGGGGTTGATTTAATTTTTAGGTTGTATTTGTTATAGATTGATCTGAGTTGATGTATTATTGGAACCATGGAGCACTGGGTAACTGTTTTCTCCTAGCATGGGGTTCATTAGCAGTATGCACCTATGACCTCATTAGGAGTCGAATCCAACGGTTTAGATCCCATACTAAGCCAAAATAGCCGCATATGGCTTCCTGGCTTTCGGTGGTATTCCGATTGAGATTAGTGTGCAATATAAATGACCTATAAATTATTGTTTCTTCAAAGTAAAATGCTTGTGAATTCTGTTTTTATTGGAGTCAGTTCCCATTACAAACAAGGATTCCAGGATTTCAAGTGAGAAAGTGTAATTAAATGGAATATAACAGTAAGCCAAATATCACCTATGTTATTTGGATAACGGCGGATCTGTATTACAAGTCAACTGGATTTAGAAATATTTACCATTTCGAATTGTGAACTTAGTGGTTTTAATGCATTGTGCTCTCCAAGATGTCGGAAAGTTTTATATTCGACGATGTTTAAGGTCTTGAAAGTGCTCTACTGAAGAGTTTCAAAATTAGGACAACACAACATTCAAACTATTCTGTTCTCGGTTGATAAATAATATTCGTTATGTCAGTTCAAAGTAATCAATTGGAGTTATCATGAATGATGAAATGATTCTCGTAATAAGTGGATATCAATATATTAAACATTAGGAACCATTGACTATATACTTACTTACTTACTTACGCCTGTTACTCCTCATGGAGGAGCATAGGCCGCTCACCAACATTCTCCATCCAACCCTCTCCTGGGCGATCCTTTCCAGCTCATTGAATATATACGTTTCCCTATTGTGCTAAAAATCTGTCTTACATTTCTATAACTTCCCTTGGCTTGAAATCTTCAAACTTCCAATTTCATGCAGTATATACATTGATCTTTAAACTGTTCACTAAATGGAATTTCCACCGTTTAATTTTCTTATAGCATGACTTAAATTCCAGTGTTATATGTGTGTTACAAGGCATCTTATTAACTATAAGTAGTTGAGATGCTTAATTAAGATTTCAGAAGTCTTCTTTCAGTTGATTGTTACACAATGAGTTTACATTTGTGAAGTACGATCGAAGAAACAGTGTATTATATAAGAATAATTATCAAAATTATGATAAATTAATTAATATTCATTAACTATATCAAATTCAGCAATCACAGTAAATATATCGAAATGAGAGAACTGTACATACATTAACACCGTTGGATGCCGGCTCACTGGTCTAGTGGTAAAGTGCTCGCGTGCGAAACCTGTAGGTCCTGGGTTCGAATCCCGCGGGGTGCGGGATCGTGGATGCGCACTGCTGAGGAGTCCCATACTAGGATGAAACGGCCGTTCAGTGCTTCAAGGTTTTCCATGGTGGTCTAGCTTCAATTGACTCATGATTTCAACCTGTGAAATAACTAAATGTTTACTGTACACACAAAAAATGAAGATAAACTGTCAATAACATTAAGAGAATATAATTATGATAATAAGTGAATTGAATGTTATGAATTCTTGTATTTGCTTAGAATTATCATATATAACGATGAAGAAACATGATAAGCTATATATTTCACATAAACATTTGTCAAAATTTAAGTAAATAGCTTAATAGAAATTAGATCGAAAGTAAAATTATATTTGAAATGATCTTATCGAATAAAATTTAAATGATTTCAACGTTTTACTTGGCAAACTGGTTTTAATAGTTAAATTTATGAGTCAATTAAAGATAGACCACCATGGGAAACCTAGAAGGACTGGATTCCTCAGCAGTGCGCGTCCACTGTCCCGCTCCCGGGATTCAAAACAAAGACCTATCGGTCTCGTACACGTACGCTTAATCTCTAGACTACTGAGCCGACAGGCATCCAACGGTGTTAATGTCTAACTTCAAACAATATACGAAGTTGCGCCACCGTCCACCATTTTCTTCAATGAGTTACTATTTCACAGCAGACCCGACTGAACTCCACTGGTCATGGCTTCTCACGAAAACTCTAGGACATGCCTCTTGGAGATAGTTACTGGTGTTGAGGAGTCCCATACTAGGACGAAACGGCCGTCCAGTGCTTCTATGTTTTCCATGGTGGTCTAGCTTCAATTGACTCATGAACTCAACCGTTAAATTACTATAATATTCACAAAACCCCATCTCTGATTTTAAACCGGTTTTAGTTTCCTTTAGGGGATTAACCAAAATCAACGTTGAAATTCTGTCATTGAATTTCTTTAAAATAAATATTTTTGGATACTAATAAGGTATATATGTTCAAAATGATTGATTTTCACCAAACGGTTCTTTTAAAATAATATTGGTGAGATTTTTTGAACCATTATTCATTTTTTAAATCTTATACTGTTGTTATATTACTAATGTTCTCTAGTAGGAACTTGTATTTTGGATCCGTAAAGGAATCAGCTTTATTGTCTGGTCGCCTCTATTTGCATTTACCAGTTCACTTACTCTTGTGGAGCAAGGTTCATAGGCCATAGCAAACGCTTGCTTTCAACTTGGATATGAGGGAATATCCCAGTATGGTTCTACAACGGTGAGATAAAAGCAGTTAAGAGTTCTATTCTTGAAAATTTAATAGACTCCATTTACTCCAGTGATCCACAGGTTGATTGCAAGGTTGTTTACACAATCCGTGCAAAAGTACCTAGATTTCTTCGTACCCAACTCCTTAAAACAACAGAAACTATTGCTATCCATGAGTTGAAGCCAAAACTGTGTGTACCAAAGAAGTACGTCATATCCTTATCGTTACCTTGGCCTTAAACTTATTATTATTGTTATATTTCGTATTTGAAACTATATTCCTCTCTCTCTTTTTAATTCTGTCTCATATCTTTATGATTTTATCCATAAATGTTTCTGATATTATTTCATTTTATTATGCACTTTTATCACCGTTAATTATTGTAACAAAAACATTGTAATTTCAACAGTTGAGATCGTGAGTCAATTGAAGCTAGACCACCATGGAAAACCCGGAAGCACTGGACAGCCGTTTCGTCCTATTGTTGGACCTTTCAGCAGTGCGCATCCAGTGACCAGTGGAGTTCAACCGGGTCAGTTGTGAGGTAGTAACTCATTGATGACAATGATGGATGTGTCGCTCAATTTCGTGGATTAGTTGAAGTTAGGCATTAACACCGTTGGACGCCGGCTCAGTGGTCTAATTGATTAAGCGCCTGGCGCGAGACTGATAGGTCCTGGGTTTGAACCTTGCGAGGCAGGGTCGTGGATGCGCACTGCTGAGGAGTCCCACAGTAGGACGAAATGGCCGTCCACTGTTTCCAGGTTTTCCATGGTGGTCTAGCTTCAATTGACTCATGATCTCAACTGTTGAAATCACTACAATCTCCCCAATACCTCTTCTGATACTAAAAAAACATTGTAATCATCTTACTTTATGCACATAATAATTCGTTGCTAACTTATTAATTTTACATGGCTTTTTATTAGCAGACACATAATATTTTATTGTTGTTATTCATATTACGTTATCTAAGATTATAATCTTTCTATTACGTCATCATGTTTATTTTTTGTTCATATGTCGTCACGGTGCTTCTATGTATATACGATTGTACAGCTTCGTAATAAATTCGTTGAAAGAAAAGATCCCTTCGCTAAATTTCGTTTTTTTAATATTTAAACAAGAATTCTGCATCAAAGTACATTTCGTCATTTTGTTTCGTATAAAAAATGTAGTAATTTTCTATTTATTGACAGATTCACTGAATGTTGTGATGTTATACCTTATTTATAAGGTTAAATGAATCATAAATAGCAATCAAAAGAGATATTTAGCCACTACCGTTGTTGTGTACTACCGGTTCTTTTTGTAAGATTGAACAAGAATTTCTATATATATATTGATACATATGGAGGGCGTTAAAAGTAGTCACGAAAATGAGGAATCTGTTGTTTGCATAATGGACAACATACACTTGAAACGTTGCTGTCTTAAATTGGTTTGCGTTAAAGTTATTCAAAGAATCAAATTTTTCTTCCTCAGAATTTTCTCATATTGACTTACTTGAAACTTATCAACTGCAATTAATATATTCATTCTAGAAAATAGCGATATGCTAAAATCATTCATATGGATGATTTAAAAAATATAATTATCCAGTCTTTCAGTTGAACACAATGGTAATGTTATAATGTAAGGGTGTTTGATTTTCTTAATCAACATGTTTTTGATGCAGTCCTCAAGAGCCTTAAGTTGTTTCAATGGTATGTGGTTGGTAAAATAAAATTTAATCTTGTTAATAAATGACAATCTATTTTGTTTATCAGTTATAAACCAGTTTATTAGACCTAATTCTCATTAGATTTGGGAAAGTTCATTCACTGAATTTTATTCTTTTAACTCAACCGTTATACGAGTGTACTCAAAAATATAAACCAATCTGTTTGGATCATTAAAGAACATTCAAGTTGAGCACTTTTAAAACGTCAGTGTGGGTTTTTTTAATGGATTCTTTTTTTTTTTACTTTCATGTCGAATATCTTTGTGAAATATATTTCTCAGGAACGTTGGACTAAAAAATAGTTACGATGACTCTATAGATCATAGTGGCGTTTAATTTCCCTCTGATGTAAAAGTGCGGTTATCATTTTCTTCCTAGCTTTACTATTTGTCCTAATTTCTCTCTCTATCCCTCCTAGGCTATCACAGACTGTAAATGCATGGTAAACACTATAATCTATTATCTCTATTCATTTTGTAGACTCTAAAACTATTTTCATCCTAATGCCGAACTGAATGGGTGCAGAACACAGTGTTAGTCAGCAGAAGTCACACAATTTCACAAGAGATTCTCAGCTAAATTCTTTCCAGTCAACAAAAAGATCTGGTAAGTATGATTGCTCTAAATAAACTGTAACTTATTAGAATCTCTCTAACTCGATCTGTTATCCTGGCTTTTCCTTTTATAACGTAATATAATACATATTTTTCAAATAACCATTTTTCAAGTGGATATACGTATATATATATATATATATATATATATATATATATATATATATGTTACTCTAGGACGACTCTGTTGGGCTAGCTTCAGTCATAATACTCCTTGATTATGAAATAAACATGAATTTACTGACCAGTAGTGATTTAGTCTTTTAATAGTGTGAATTCAAAGATAACCGTCTCTTTTTGTTCGATGTCAATAGTTTTCTGTTTCACTCAAACTAACTAAAAAACCTAGATGGAATTACGAATTCAAATTGGGCAGCCTGCTTGAGCATCTGGGCTACCTGTTCCTGTCATCTAAATATTTCAACAAGTTATCTATTTTTGTTTGTTTTAATATATCATTATGTATATTAATCGCATAACCCATCCTTGTGCATTTCTGAAAAGTTTACAAACTTTCGTTGTCAAAGTTACTAAAAGCTCAATAAGAGATAATGTGGTCGCTGGCAATATGCAGAGAAAAGAATATACATTATTCAGATGTTCATTTACTGGACTGCTAACATCTAACTGGCTATCACTCAATATTTATCGTCAGGATCGACCCAGAAGAAAGAAACGGAAACTTGTTGAAATACTTTGTGCTGAGAATTCTATATTGTACCGAAAATATAATATTGAATAAAGCTTATAATAATAATAATAATAAATATGTTTATATGAAAAAAACGAATTAATTGGTTAGACGATCTGAAATTTATCATCTACGAACATAATAGCCAATTTAAATTGTGTATTCACTACAGATGCTTCAATGTATATCAGGTATATAGCCATATCTTGTGAGTAACTTCTTGACATTTGAATACAGAGAAAGAATAAAAGATTGGTGGTAGCCGTAGCTTCTACCTTAACGTGGTTATCAGACTTGCATGTCAAAATGACCCAATGGAGCTAAGCACTTATTCCTTTGTGTTTTTTTTCTATTGACATTTTGTAGTTTTGACTCGTTCAATTATCTCTCATCCTGTTAAATTCCGTTCTTGCTATGTTGTATTGAAATAAAGCAATTTGGACTGATACACATTTATCTCAATTTATATATTGTTTATTATAGCTAACTAACTAGATCTTATTTCACTTTGAGTGTAATTCCTTTTATGGATGTACTGATCTGTTGTCCTTAGGTCATTCTTCATCTCTACCTTCTTCGCCTCGATATGATTGGCGTCGTTCATCATTATCGGGACTTGCTAGTACCTCGTATTTGAACAACACTAACAATAGTCGCAATTATGGTAGCTTTCAAAGTCCTTCTAAGCAAAAACACCAACAACGAAATTCTGTATCCAGTCTACCAAAAGATACTTTTGCTTCATCAACTGAGCTGGGTTTAGATATAAGTCAAAGATCTTCTTCGACTAAATCGTTAAATTACTCCTCATTCGACAAGTTATCCTCAACGACTAATCGTAAACAAGCTGATGCCGGTATACTAATTGTCAATCGTGGTCGTCATACTTCAAGTCATTATGATTTAAGTGGCAGTAGAGATGGTTGCAACAATCATACAGAATTAGGTCGAGTTATATTAAAGAAACTTCAATGGATTTCTAGATTTGAACCAATTTCGTCTACTATGAAAGTACAATATCATTCATCAATGGCAGCAACAATGGAGAATCAACCATTTGCATCAACCTCTAAATCGATTCCATCATTATCGTCATCAACGTCAACAGCATTTAAAAAGAGACAATTTATTCCACATGTTCCAGAGTTCGATTATGAAGCGGTAATCTGTCAATTATCGATTATAGAGAAATATTTATGAATTTATTGAAGATAATTGTTATAAATGTGCAAACATATAATTTAATATTAATCTATGAATGAATTTCATCTTCACTTAGGTATGGTTGATGATGGTTCTACGACTTGCTAAGTAGAAAGATTGTTTTAGACTTACTGGGTTTGATTAAAATAAAATACAGTCGTCTTAGTTATATGTAACATTTCTATTTGAATATTTATGAACAATGGAGAAGATTTGTAGCTGAAGTGGATGATTTACGTAGTTTTTTTTCTGGGCTGGATGGTTTGGTCGTGGAGCTTTCATTGTTCTTCTGAACAATATCATCAGCACAAACTTTAAGTAGAAGTGAAGTGTTCGAATTTCTCTACATATGACTCACAGCTTGTCCTGTAGACCTTGATTTTGATTAATTATCACTGACCCTTAACCTGCCATTGTCTTCCACTTTATTTTGATTGCATCTCCTATCTACAAAATAAATAGAGACAACTGCGAAAAACGCTACAGACAAAGTGGATACCACCTTCATCTTCCCCTGCACGAATATTTGCTGTCAAACTCCATGACATATCTTCACTTATATTAATCCATGTGGACACATTCGACTGGGAAATGTTGAGATCTTGGATAGAAGCTTGGCACTCAGGTCAATCAGCAATCAACAAACGCATTGATATCAACCCACTCTGTCAACCAATCAGAAAAAACATGGACAAATATGAGATGAAGAATCAAATCAATGGGAGATACAATCAAAACAAAGTGGAAGACAATGGCAGGTTAAGGGTCAACAATAGCCAATCAAAATCAAGGTCTACAGGACAAGCTGTGAGTCATATGCAGAGAAATCCGAACACTTCATTTCTATAATGAAAGCTCCACGACCGAACCATCCAGCCCAGAGAACAAAACTCCACTTAAATATAAGAATAGTTAATGGTTTAATAATGAATAATAATTAGCTTAGATTAAAAGACTTCCGTTTAAGGCAATAATACCCAGCAGTAACGGTCAGCTCTCAGTGCAAACAAACACAAGGATATGTGGCTAGGCAGATAAAAAATATCACGTCAATGTACTTGAGTTTATTGGTCGTATTCTATACTTTGATTTGCTAGAATCTTTTCAGAAGTACGTACTGGACGAAATAAATTATGAATCTCGTTGAATACAGTCAGTTGCAAATGGAAAAATGATTTCAGTAGTCGCTGATACACATATAATCAAATGTCTTGTAAAGACTAACAAAGTATTGAGTCTAGTTTGTATCTACGCCTAAACTAATGATAGGAAGTGAAATGGTCTAGCACATCGACCATTTCAATTATCTTAGGAGTCTCATCAGTCTTAGTGGGTTTACTGCCTGATGAAATCTCCCCCAGGATTCAGAAAGTTCGATGGGCTTTGGCCAACCAGCTTCACTTATGGGGCTAGTGAAATGCTTATCTGTCAACCAAGGGAAGAGTATACTACACAATAGTTAATTGTGCTGTACAGTATACCTGTAAGTTACTATTATTTGTTCGCGGATGCTCTTGAACAGTTACGCACATATTGAAACCATCAAGTTAGCAATATTGAGGTTGCGTATAGGGTACATGGTGAAAATGAAAAATTAGTTAGTGTGGTTCTGAACCGTCATTGATTGATGTGGTTAGAATGTGTATTATGTATGGCTAACTACCGTCTACCTTAATGGGTGATGCATGGTGTAGGAGTTAGCTAACAGAAAGCTGGAGGCGGTGAAATTAAAACACGAGGTCAGTCCACCAAGTGGTTGTTGGACTGAGGCATCCTCGTAGTTGCAGACTACCTGATTGGGATCCACATACTTGTCGTAGTCAGTGTTTGGGGATGTTAGATGAAATGACTGGGATCAGATCAAAATTCGACAGTTGCGTTCATTCTCCGTCTCCTTTTAGATCTGGAGTTCCAAAATGATCTTATATTTTTTATTTCACAAATTCATTCTTCTTGAATTTTATTGTTTGTGCTTAGTTCTTTTTACTATCACTATTAATCTAACATCTCGTTATGCCGATGAGATATGGGGCAACCTGAGGCGATGCTTAAATGTACCACGCTGTACGTTACGTATGACTAACTGACAAATTGATCACTAGTTCAAACTGTTACTTATGCACCAATTAAAAGATGAAAATAATCCTATAGTTTGGAATATATTTCCGATCTTGATGAATTTTAAACACATCAATAATTTTGAAATTGCTGCTTTTTCACTAACTAATACAGTCGGGAACTTATGGATTGACTACTAAATATCTCTATGGTGTTGTCTCATTTTTATTTGAGAATTCTCAACAGAACACACTCACACTATTACATACAACCAGTCGTAAGACCTTTGCAAAATAGATGTAACATACTTAGCAGCGAAATCCAGGATAGACATTTCGTTTTATTCAGAACTCATCACCCGGATGTACCTGCATTCCACATTTGTTGTTCACTCTAGAATCCGGATACAGTACCTTTCATTTTAAACGCTGGACATATCCGCTTGACTACTGATTTCAGAAAGTCATTCACGTATGCAACAACTATAAATTTTAATTCAGTTCACAGTCGATAACAAAGCAATCCAAATGATTGCGAATTGAATTAAGTAAAACCTTTATATTTTGCGATGAACAACTGGTAAACAATTATCCTCGCTATTCATTTTTAATTCTTTTCACTGTCTACCTTTTTGTAACTTGTCTACACAAGACGATATCCCTTAACGTTTTAAGTTGATTGTAGTCAACGTACTTTTCCCTGTTTTCTCGCTTTTTTATTCTTTACTCTTTTAGTCTTTTCTCTTTTGTTTTTCTTACGAAACAGTTGGTGAAAATGTCATCTGTCTATGAGCAATATTTGCATAAATATACTACTGAGTTGTCACAAAAACAATCTGATCTGATCATTATAGAAAATAAAGTGAGTATACATACTTTTTTCTATTATTTTCGACTACATTAGTTTTTTTATTGTTTTTCACATTGCTAATATGTTTACGATTGATGGTTTTGGTACTGCATTAGCTCTATGTTTTACTGTCGTCCGGTTCAGATACATATGCATGCACTTTCTGTATGCTTACTTCAATTCGATATCCAAACGAAAAGGCAAAGAAATAATCAACAGGCTTCTTTTGGCTACCTGAATACGATATACACAAACCATGGGTATACGTACATCTGTCTTTCTTGCCTAGTCAACAACATGCAAACCAAAACTTTGACTAAGTTCATAATCAGTATCATTCATCTATCGTTTGACCTTAAGATTCGTGATATATTTAAACTGAATTTACCAACTAGTCAATCATATTGGGTAATTTATTCAAATAAAGATTTCAAAATTTACTAATGTCGATTATTAATTGATCACTGGTAATAATAAGTTTATAATCCGTGGCTATCTTTTTCGTATACATTGATGAAATCCCATTCATAACTCTTCAAAATTACTGACTGTCAGAAAATTGGTCTGAAATATAATAAGTAGTTATGGATACCTCTTTAATAGAGGGCAACGATCATCTCATAATATGATTAACAATTGTTTCACTGTGGATATTTTTGAATGATTGTTGCTCCGTAAAACTAAATTGATATAAGTTGTAAAAACAGGGTAATCTAATGATTGAATGACCTACTGAATAGAACCCCTAAAAATATAGCTGTCCAGTGTTCCTTGGTTCATAATGTTCTTCCAGTTGAGGATGATCTGTAATGGATACTGTTGTGGATGCGGAGGAATAGACCAATAATTATCATGTTAAGTCCAATGGTGTCCTTGGACTTTAAATGGATATTTCCTATTGGTCGATATCTGTTCACTTGTTGAATATTGTACAAAATGTTGTTTTCTATTTTTATGGTACGATGTGGTATGCTTGATTGGTATATAAACAAAGTATGTTTGAAATATAATGATTCATATCTCCGAGGCTGTGACTTGTGTTCTGGACTCAACTAACTGGGCTAGACAGGGAAGTGGGACCAATCAGAACTCTAGGCCGTCTGTACGTGTTTACGTGTCACTGTAATCGATCGATAACACAGGGTAGAGATCGACAGCAACCTAAAGTCATAACAGATACAATCAGATTAATTTATCATTTACTCTTTGTAGTTATTTAACGAAAAAATTAATTTGTAATATGAATTTTATTTTCCTTACTTTACTTTTTTTTTTCTCCAACAGATTGATCGAGATATTTCACAACTTGTTGAAACATTTCAAGCACGTGAGAAAGGCATCAACAATAATCAACATTCCATTAATTCAATATTTCAAAGTCCTTTCAATAGTCCAAAGAAAGTTAGTACAATTACAAATTCAATAAATGACTCGACGAAATTATCCGGATCTCAACAAATTGAGAATATTGTTTTATTAACTAGTCAAATTTCATGTTTATTAACACAATGTGATGAATTAAGTAAACAATTAATGAATTCAATAAATAATTTAAATGAATTATTACCTGAATAAAATGTAATTAAGGTCTAATGAAGAACATTATTTAAGTATACAAATTTCATATTCTTTAAGTATTGAACATTTACAAGTAATTTCTTTTCAATATGAACAAAACAAATTTGTAAATAACTTACTTATCTTATATGATTAATTCGTTTAATAAGTATGATTCTTTTCAATTGAATTAGAGTGTTATAATCGATGTTATTTTAAAATTTGTGTCGAGCAGTGAGAAATGATTTAAAACTAGATGAATGGTCTTGTCTGTGCTCGAGATCGAATATCTTGGTTTTGTTTCATGGTTGAGGTATCGTGGGTGCTCTCTCAGTAATGAGGAGTTTCGTTCTATGGCGAATCAGACATTCAGTGCTTCTAGATTTCCAGTGGTTGTCTAACTAAAATCATTCTGTGGTTTAAGCCGTGAAAATAAGAAAACAGTCAATTCAGTCAATAAAATACAAGAAAAGAAATAAACCCGAATTACTTATAAGTAGTATCGTTATACCAAAAGGATGGAGAGGCTCTGAAAGAGATAGAAACTGTTACGTATCCGAGCAGCACAATTGATAAACAAAGAGGATCTGGTGCAGATATGAAGGTACGGATTGAAAAAACAAGGACAGCATTCCTACAACTGATGAAAATCTGGAACTCAAAACAACTGTCATTCGACACCGAAATCACAATTTTCAATATGAACGTCAATACAGTTCTACTGTGCAGAACTAAAACCTGGAGAACTAATACAACCTTCATCAAAAGGTACAGGTATTTATGAACAGTTGTTTACATAATGTTATATCTGGTTGTCGCTGATTGTTGTCAGAAAGACGCTTATTACTTATACTCGGAACGAGGGCCCTCTGTAGTTCCCACAACGCGAAAGTAAGAACACAAAGACTGGTATAAGTAAAGGTTTATTAGCCCCAAAAGCTCTATGACGACGACGATCCTAGTCTAAAATACACTGGTTTATATATTGATTGTACACCCATTTTGATTAATAATTAGGATTAAACCACATACTCAGTTATAACAAATCACTTACTGAGTATAGTTCATGTCAACTGAATACAAGAATATCGTATATTATACGGAATAAAATATCATATGAGAAAAAGAATCAAATACTACGCTGAATGATCATCACATTGACTCAGAACGGAAGTAATTTTGAACAAAACTCATAATTAGTAAAGCAATAGGAAATTGGCTACTCTTTCTATCATATCACATAAGTTCCTTCATATCGGTTGGGCAGGCATCATCGGCAATGACCTACTGTGGCGAAGAACAAGCGACCTTCCTGCCTAAGAGGAAATTCGGAAAAGACATAGGAGATGGATAAGGCACACATGGTGGGAGTGATCAAACTGCATCTCGAGGCAAGCTGTAATACGGGACCCTAAAAGCAAAAGGAGGAAAGGTAAACCGAAGAACATATTGTGGTGAGAACAGGAGGCACATATCAAAAGAGTGAATATCACTTAGGAACAACTGGAAAGCAGAGTTCAGTGGAGAATCCTGGTCGGCACCCTATGCTAGCATTTTCTTGCATTGTATTACAGGATAATTGTATGAAGCTTACTTGGATATCTTCCATTGTTTTTGATGTCATATATGAAGTAGTGGTTTGGGCACTTAAAATGAGTCACGGTATTTGTGTCAATGTGAGTTGTATAAATCTTCGACATAAACGTTTAAAACTGAATAGCTCTATCGACGTGCACTTGTTTGACTGTGGCCACATTCTGAAGAAACCCAAATCTTTTCCAGTAATCTAACGTATAAGTTCCTTGTTTTCCAACATATGGCAAAAGCTATAGTTGTCCAAGTGTCCAGAAGCAGTTTATGACATCCATGTGCGTGTTTTGGCTGAATATGATAATTTCCACATCCTGTATTTATTTGTCGTTTTCTAACTACTTCCGTTAATATTCTCTGCAATCCGATAATTTACACACTTTGCGTTATGCAATCTCGATAACCTCTTGTAATTAATAAGGTTACATTTATTAATTCGAGTTTAGCCTACATGCCATGCCTTCCTATTACTATCCATACCCCTAGCTACTAGCTCAGGTACTATCCTATGTGATATTTCTACCGGTCTTCCCCGACCCATCGTACTCTCTGCCTATCGTCGTCTCGTCTTCGCTGCCCTTTGTGGACTGTCTGATCTAGGTATCACAGCTACATTATGCCCCATCGCTGCACGATACTTCTGGCCGTCCATGAATAAATATGTCCATATGTGGGTAAAGCAATGCTCACAATGTCAAAGATCAAAAGTGCACAGGCAAGTAGCTGCCTCCATTGGCACGTTCGCTCGATTACGTTCATATAGACTTTGTAGGACCATTGCCACCATCGCACGGGTATGATCACATACTCAAGTGTATAGATCGTTTAACAAGACGGCCAGAAGATTCTCTTATCACGTCTATTACGGCGGAGACAGCTGCTCACCGCTTCGTAGAACGATGGATAGCGCTGTACAGTTGTCCGTCGACTGTCACGACTGGCCGAGGACAACAATTCGAGTCCGCATCATTCTCCTCACTGACCCGGCTGCTTGTTACGGAACGCATACCCACTACCACCCGGCATCAAATGGTTTAGTTGAACGGTTTCATCGCTAACTTTAAAGTATCAGGTATCAGAACGAGCTTAAAGGCAGATATTCAGTGCTCCGCCGCTGAAATGGTATACGGCACGACATTGCGTCTGCCTGGGGAATTTTTTACAACACGGAGCCAGTAACGATTTTGGTAAGTCAGACTACGTCCATCGACTGTCTGAATTTATGCGAACACTGCCTCCGGTGTCAACTCGAATACAACATCGACAGTTCACTCTCCCTCGAGAATTATCTACTTGTTCACATGTTTTCATACGAGTAGATTCGGTGTGCAAACCTCTGCAACAGCCTTACGAAGGACCTTTTCACGTAATTTCTCGTCAGGAAAAGACTTTCAAGGTTGATCGAAATGACCGCGTCGAGATATTCAGTATTGATCGTCTCAAACCAGCACACGTCGTTGACAGTGCCCTACAGGATAACTTGAGACCCAATTCTAGACCTATCAAACCTACCAGCGTGATCTACTTCAGGTCCTACATTAAATACATCCGAGACCTCATTCTCACGTCGTGGTCGACAAAACGTGTAATATGCACCATCTGCAGACGAAACAACAGTCTCAGGTCCAGATCAGCAGACCACGCCGCCCTTGACTTCGAATGAGATTGCAGGCTCGCGAAGTACGAACGAGACTACCGTCTCACGTTCCAGTCGCCGAGTACGCTTACCCGTACGCTTTCGCGACTAACCGCACATTCACCAACGGATACGGCATAGGACTCTATCCCTATACTACATGCACGCTATATCTTTTCTCTGTTTTCTTGGGTTTTTTTTCCATCCTTAGCCCACATCTCCGACCATCACCCGTTTGGCACCATCGATTTCAGTCAATTTTGGCGAAAGCTGGCCTGATCACTTACGCTCTTGCCAACGCGCTCAGTCGATGTTCTGGTTCCGAATATGTCTGGCATACGTTTGGTCTCGCACTTGGCTGTTATGGTCGCTTCTCGTTCCTTCGCTTACCGTGATTCCGTCCTACCTCTGCAGCGTCTTCTGGTCCGCATTACTACGAGCACAATCCTCAGATCCTGGATACGAACCACTCTGGTGTGGTACGCTAACTCGAACAACAAATACAACACGTTTCTCCTGGTACCGTTCTTCGTAAAAGACCTTCGGTGCCAACTCAAGGATGAATGATCGCTTTCTGTTGCGCCAACCATTTCGTCCTACAATTGCACGTTTGCCAATCATTCACACGAACGAAACCGCTACTTATCGAGAGTGTAAACCCTTTCTATAACCAGCTGTACCAGTGGTTGTTATACTGTAATTGTTTGTTTAATTGTACTAAAGACATATATTATTCCGTTGATTGTGACTTTGCACGAATTCGGTTACGCTCATTGACCACACTTGTAACCTGACACGATCTCGGTATTCTTTTGATACCACGATATCATCAACAAATACATCTCGACTACAGCCACAAACTGCCTTCTGATATTTGGCCTACGGGGGACTTATCAGTTAACTGGTACGTGGTCTTCTTGTAGCGGTGATCATAGTCTACCGCGACTCGACACCACACTACAGGCTAAAATAATATTATTGCATTGATAGGATCGTTCATCTGTTGCGAATTAATTGATTATTGAGGTTTGCCAATCAATGATTGACTGAAAAACTGGGCAGTAATATTAGGTTGGAATTTTTCCTTACCTAACCACTTAGTTTGTAATTTCAACTGGGCAAGCGCAACTGTTTGAGTTAACACTCAGTTATTCATGATTAAAAATCTGCTTAATTTAAAAGCGACACTGGCTTCCTAGCTACTTTACACAACACTAGGCTATTTCTATCCTTTACGCCAAACAAGAGTAAAGGGGCAAAATGTGAGTAAGTTTTGGTAGCATACCAAATACGGCACATTAGAGACAATTATCCGAACTAAACGTGGCACAGTTTCCAGATTACTTAACGTTTCTGGGATCCTGCTCAATGCTCAGTAGATGGAACGTTTCCAGGTGTTTACCAAGGCTTCGTAAATTTCGACAAGGACAGTTTTCGTACTCTCGTGTTAGTTAAAACCAATATGGGTTGAATTCTGTGTAGTCCCCAGCAAACTTTCATACACACTAGTTTCGCTAGGTGAATTTTGTTGGTCCGTTTAAGTTCTAATCACATTAGTTAAAGTCATAAGTTGCCCTTCTAGGCTGTTCATACTGCAGAATTGTTAGTGATAATAATAATAATAATATATTTCTGAAATGCCGAGTACATGCCAGTTTTACAGGTATGATCTATAAATTACAACATTTATTGTTTCACAGTATAAATAAATATAGTCCGTAATACTGAATATCAGTTCATTCCTTCATGTACACTAAGTAATCTTCATAATATTCTCCAAAGTGGAGTCGCG